GGCCCCCCGCAAACGCTCCGAGAACAGTGTTCTACAAAAAAGACATCCTTCTCTCTGCTTAAGGAGCGCGATTTGGGTCACTTCCCCTTTCCCCCCCGCCTGTATCCCCCCCATCCTGGCACGAGCGAGGAGAGGGGCACAGTAGGGGTTTGGGGGTTGGTTTGTTTGGGTTTTGGTTTTTGGGTTTTTTTAATCAGGCCAATCTATCTGCCAATTTACACACAGCAGAGGCTGTGCAGTCTTCGTTTTCAGCAATTACAGAAATGGTAATAAATCCTCAACCCCATTTGTGATGCTGCAGCTCCAGCAGAGAAGGAACCCTCCGCTGGGTGCAAGACTGGCGTGGAAGGCCAAGACTGCAAGGAAGGATGACAGCATTTTAAGATGAAAAATAAGAAAAACAATATGGGGAAATGACACCAAGAAATTCAGTTTAATTTAAGCTGCAACAGGCGGCAGTTTATGATTTTGCAGTATGTCCTTTCTGTGAATTCACACATAATCCCCTAACGTAGTGTTAACTTTTCTGTTAAGGCTCTTTTATTAGTATTACTTCCAGCTTTATTTCCTTTAGCCTTCTAGTTACATCTCTGTTTCAAAGAGAGGGAGTAGTAAATAAAGGGAGACCACTTCAACTATAAGCTTTTTCTTGCTTCTCAGTATTTCATCACACCAAACACCTCGCATCAGAGAGGACTGAATAGCTTATTTTTGGAAGTTCAAATCCCTTCCAAAGTGGTTTTTTTTGTTTCCTGGCATTACGAGAAGTGAGAAGTGTTTTGCACAGCACAGTGAATAAAATGTTCTGATTTTCAAAAGAAACAATTGCACAAGAATAGACAGCGGAATCATCTTGAGGTGGTTTGGGCATGCGTTTCCCTTTGTGCACTCTTTGCTTTCCTTCATTTCATGCCCGAAATTCTGAGTTGCTCAATACTTTGCCTCTCTGCCCCAGTCCTTCCATCCCCTAGCAGAGCTGCCATCATGTGAAAATAGTGGAATTTTCTTTAGCACTGGATGTCAGTTCTAACTTCACAAGAAATGGTTCAGCGGTCAAGACACCTGCTGGCTACTGACCGTTCAGGTCAAGCAGACCTCACCAGACAGTAACGTTATTGCATCCTTCCTTCGCAAAGAGTTTCAAGTGGGCCAAGCAGTACGGAAAGCAGCAGCGTCAGATTCTACTGATACACAAAACATTCTAGTGTGAACCATTTCTTAAAAAGAAAAAAACACCCCAAAAACCACAGCACACATCATCCCAAATTATAGTTCAGTATTACAATGTATTATCATGTGCAAAACTCACCATTTACAAAAAGAAATACAAACATGTGCCAGGGGTTTCAGATACATGGCAAATCGACAAAAATGCTACAGATCTCTGTATGTACAATACACACGCTGCCCATGACATTTTTGTAATCATCTGCCTTAAAAGTTACGCTGCTCGCATTCGACTTGGGGAGAACCCCATGTCCCTCTAAAGAGAGTAGCCTTAATTGACTTAAGTAGGGTCCACAGCGTCACCCACAGCATCAGCTATCTTGGACAAATCTATAGAACACACATGTTTAATACCATTTTATCTTTGCATATGTAGGACTGACTTTCACATCTCACCTACCGCGTAACTTAGAACCATGAAATGCTACAACACATTCTTCAGTCCAAGATACATTTTTATGTTGGTGACAGACTATACAAAATAGCTAGTGTTCTCCTTCACCTTACTGATCCGTTTAATCCTCTGCTAACACAAATGGTATCTGGGATAGGTGCTGTTAAATCCCTCTGCAAATCTACAACACTGCTTACATAAAAGTTCCTTACCAACCTCCTTTGCTTATTTTCTGCAAGGAGCCTGAACCAGCAGACTAACACATTTTAATCCTAAATTAGGTTCTCTACATTCTTTCTCTGCCCCTTCTCTACATCCTTTTCTTTCAATTTCCTCTTCCTACCCCCTAGGTTCTGTCTAAAACAATGTATATATAAAACACTAATCCAGATAACAGTACATCAAGTTCAGATAAAGGCACTGAAATCGCCAGTACCAACGTTATGACCTTCTTACAGATAACACAAGTTTCATAAGAATTCTCTTGTAACAGGAAAAGAGAAACCACAGAGACTTTTAACGCAATACTCTAAAACCAGCAAGAGATTTATTCTTGTATATTAAATGTTAAAATCACATGCATAATTATAGAATACTTTATAGTTAAAAAAATATTTCAAAAACCAACCCTGACAGTTTACCTGCAACTGCTATAAAATTTCTATGATATATATATATAAAAACATGTTGATTTTCTGTAATTAAAAAAATTAGGAAAGGATGCAATCATCCAGGTAATTATGAGTTAACTGATGCCCTGCATCGGACAGTCTTGTCAAACTCATGCTGGTGAAACTGAGTTCATACCAGCCAATTTACTGAAATACTTGTCTAGCGTACATATATTTAAATCAAAATGACATTTGGCTAAAGGCTGAGTGTAAGAAAATAGATTTTTTGCACACTACAGCAAAGGACCTGCAGAGGGCCACAGTATAATATGCTTCAAAAGAGTCTGTGGTACAAGAAATTCAGCCTCATGGCTGTTCACTCAAACACGCTGGTGGAATATTCCGCATAACTGGCCATATGCATGGTTTACACGGGGTTTTGTAAGCAATGCTAGAAGTGTCTGAGTGTGTTTTGCTAGGCATTTATGGTTTAAGACCTGTCTTAGCTCCTAAGAAAGGCAGCCAACAAAGATGTTTTCAACAGTTAACAAAAGAAACAGAAATTAAACGATGAGTTGCTGGTTTTAAGAAGCCGAGTCATCGTTGTTTTGAAAAATGGCACCGTATGGATCACTGTTAATGCGCTTGTAGACAAAATGAAAGACCTGGGGTTGCGGACGGCTGTGCAACTCTGCCTTAATTTTCTGAGGGTAGGTATCCTCTGTCAGTTGCTGCCAGGTGTCGTCAACAAAAAGAAACAGGCTATATTCTTCTGGATTGTCCACTTTAAACTTTTCAGCACAAAGCTGACATACATCTTCGGTAGTGATATATGGTCTTACTAGTAAGGTCTTTCCTGTACATCCACTGTTAACTTCCTGGAACGCAACACGAAGGTAGTTCTGTAGAATAAGAAAACGTACATCAGAAACTCAAAACCCCAAAACTCATCCTCTGAAAACTGAAGAGTCAGCAGCAAACAGCAAGCCTCTCCATGTTCTAGTTGCAAAGCACACAGCGGTGATTCCTGTACGTTACGGCCACCTTGCGAATTGCGACGTTGGTGGCAAAACTGTGGCAGGCGTAACAGAAATTCATAAGCTAGCATCCTCCTCAGCTTACACTCTAACCCTGCAATTAAGAGTGAACGGATAAAGCCCTAAAGCCACATGGGAAACACTGGAGGTTTTAATGGGACTTGTTGTTTGGCCTTACTAGGAAACCAAATGCTGTGAAGCAAAACAAACATGTGAGGTAGCAGGCCCGAGAGATGCTGCTGCCGCTGCTGGGTCAATACTATAGAACACAAGCTTCACTCACTATGTTAGAAGGAGGGGAAAAAAAAAAAAAAAAGACCCTCTGCCAGTGGCACACAAGGGTGCTGATCCGCAAGTTACTGCACGGTAAACTGTTTGCACTCTTATGCTGCAGCATGCAAAACGTAATCCGTCCTCACGTAGGACATTTTCATCGCGTTAAACTGGTGGCAATTTGGTGTTTGAGCCTGATGTAACCAAATTTTGTGTGACAGCATTATCTTTTTTTAAATAAGGCTTAGAAGGATGCAGACAGAAAGTTTACTCTGCAACGTTTGAGTAAATCTACATGATCCTGAGGCAAAAGCTGGATCTTTTTTCTCTGTTGAAATTGACATGTGCTTACAACTCTGATAACATGGATAAATTCTAAATATGTCCTACAAGGAAATGCATTTCTACCTTTCAAAAAGCATTTAAAAAGTAAAATAAAAGGCCACAACTGGAAAAGAAAAAAAAACACAACAACAAAATCCCCAAAAAATTTTTGGACACGTGAACACAGCAGCCTGCCGTCACATGCTTTTTTAAAAAGAAATTAACTGCAATTAAAGACTAAAAAGCAGTAAAATTAAAGGAGGTGGGGAAAAAATTACAGTGAAAAAGACCTGTTTATTGACTGAGCTAGAACTTACGTTTGTACGCTGAGTAAATAAAGTATGCTAAATCACAATGGTAAAAATTTACATTTCATAAAAACAAGCTGTTAAAAGCTAAGACTGAGAAGAATGTTCCTATGACTTAAGTTCCAAAGAGCACTCTTGTCTTTAATAAGGTATTTTTTGACAGCTTGCAGACTGAAACACTGAAGCTTTGCAACAGCATTTAAACCAGGTCAGGTTTGAACCTGACTGAATAGAACTAATCCATTTTTGTTACCCAGTGTGAAGAAATTATGAAGAAAAAAAAACAATTGGCCCTAGAGAAGGCAAGACACACTACAGTTTTAATTTCTAATGTAGTTATCACACAGAAGACCTGATTTTAAATGCACGTGCTTTTAGACAGACAGGATTGCTTCAAGGAGAGGCTGAAGTTCGTACAAATGCCTGTAACTCACTAAGTACCAAAATTATTTATGCAGTATCAGAAAGTTGCATTTAATCATCATCTAAATATGGGATTTTTTGCTTTTTCATCCTTTTGAGGGAGGGAGGATGAAGGTCTTCCAGGACCCAAAAGCTGATAAGGCTGTGAGACTGCATCACAGAAATGTAGCGATCACACCCCGCTTCAATGCGGGAAAGATGAGTTGAGCTAAAGTTGTGTTACACCTTCATTGTAAAAAAGGGAAAGCGCTTCATTTCAGGACTGCAGAACATGGAGAAAGGAGATGGAAAACTGGCATTCTGAGCAGGCGGAAGAGTTATTGAACTTGTGCCAAGCATAACCTGGAAGTGGTGTGATCTTACTGACTCGAGGCTCTCGTGAAAGAGACAGCAGAAGGAGAAGCACTGGACACACTCGGTGCCAGCTCTTCCCCTGCCCCCCTGCATCTTCCCACATCCAGCATGGCACCCAGCTGTACAATTAGCTTGGCTGAAGTTCATTTGCTAAGGAAGAGAAGGTGAAATGGAATACAAGATCCTAGTCATTTAGTCATCCAGCAGAAATACAAGGTGACAAATTTTCCTATGAAAAGCGTAGTGCTTTGCTAGAAAGCGCAAAGGCTCAAGCTACTTGAATCTGACGCCTAACTACAGGTAAGCAGAATGTAAAACGTATCCCAGTAAGATGGGCTGGCTTTGTGCGCTGGCCATAATTTGGCATTTCTGTTAATCAGTTCTCCTCTTCCTATGAGAGGCAAATTGTGGAAGACCACTTCTTTTCCAAACTCCTTGCTGTTCAGTGTTGTGCTGTAGTCGTTTGCATGGACACTGATAAAGCAGAAGGAGCCTCAACTGAAAGGCTTCATTACCTCCTGATGACCGCACACCTTCATTTCTCAGGCTCTTAACTACATCGTAACTCATTGATGGTTGTCATTAGCCTCTCTGGCAACTTTGTGCTGTGGTATGAACTGTAAACCACTGAAGACAAAGGAGTAAATCCTTTTTTTCCTCGATTCCAACATCCTCCTTGCTTCAGTCCACAAACTGATGCATCTGAACAGACAATCAACAGCATACTATATGAAAGACATGCAGGCCGGGTTTTAAAAGATGATGTAATCCTGACTGTTTTGTTATTCTTCAGTTGAAGTCACTGCCCTACTCTGAAAGAGCAGTAAGAAATGGAGGGGAGGGAAAAAACACAAACAAACGTGAAGACATCCATAGTATAGAACTCTACTCCTTGCTTAAACTTTAAAGCTGTAGGCAAGCTTTCCTCCCACCTCTCCTCTCTATTACCTGCTATATACCACCATTAGCTACTGGCGAGCTGTGCTGAATTATACCACTGGGAATCTGGATTTGTTCCATTCAACAGTGAAGCATACAAAGAAGCTGAATCTAAGATACGATTGTTTGTCCTCGTTCTGTCTGACTTAAATAGAAGGGAGGGTGGGAAGCTCCATGATTTAGTGTTTTCTTTAGACCATCATAATCAAATTCAATTATGAAGTGCAAAGACCTCAAAACCGAGGCAAATTTGCCAGCCATATTTCAGCACTGCTTCCCTCCACTTACCTTGTGGCCCCGAGGGAAGCATTATGCATCATACCTCTCAAATGGGGATTTCCAACAAAACAATCATCGCCTGTTTTTGCTTCAGCCCTAAGCTCTACCTGAAAATCATCTACTGAAGGTATCGTCCTATTAGTTGTCCTCCTCTTGTGCCATTGCCGGAGAGTATCTCTGGCTTCTGAACTTAGCAGTCGGGCAGCTTGTTCTTCCTGGAAGTTCTTGATCAGTGAAAGTGCTCCATAAGCGCTTGTCAAGTAATAGCCTCCTGTAAAGGGCAGCAAGGGAAGAACTTCTCAGAGTAGTGACAAACACCATGCTAGTTCCGACTGGTCACAGCCAGAAGTACAAACACATTTTTTTTTTATGCGTATATACGTGTGTGTGTATATATATACACGCGCACACGTATATATGAAAGTCCCTGTACGATATTGCCAAAATATTTATACATGAAGAAAATCAGCTCATTGGCCTGCAAAATAACGGAGGGTGCATTCTCTGGTGCCGAGACACATGCAGTGGTTGCATGCGCTCCATATTATCAAGAGGTGCAATAGTACCTAACTCCGGGGCCACTAGTGCCAGGGATAGCCAGTTAAATAACTAGTGTCACTCCTTTACTCCTGAGTGGTTTTTTACAAAGTTGGAACATGAGTTTTCTTCTAAACAATTTCCAAACAGTGATTTGTCTTCTTCCCGAGCTTCAAATGTGGATGAAATAAACATAGCTGTTTAAACAAAGTAAAAGACAATCTACCACTGTTCAGGAACTTAAAAGCAACCACTCTTAGTGGCAGTAGAGCAATGACTGTGTGATTTGTACCCTGGAAACATCCCAAAGAGTTTGCTTTTGTTTTTAAAAGGAAGACTGTTTTGTGTCACCTTTTTAGCATTCCCCATAATGTCCAACTAGTTCAGGAGGTGATGTGTACAGTCCCACATACTCGACCTTTATTACATGAGTGGAGAACAAATTAAAGCCGCGACAGAGTTACCGATGTACAAAAGAAGCTGCAGGTCACAAAGGAAAAGGAGTCTCAACAGGATGTAACAGTCCTCAACAACCAGGAGAGAAATAAAAGACATGCTGTTGTTTATTTCTCTCTCTTCTCTTTTATCTTTTTGGGGGTAGGGGGGTGGTGGTGGTGGGGTTTTTTGGGGTTTTTTTTTTGGTTTAGGTAAAGTATTTGAATGGGAGTGTCCAATTAAGAGGCAGCACAGTCTATTCGTGGAGTCATTCAAAGATGTTAGAGTAGTATTTTCTGTATTATCGATAGCATCCTCTTGGCCTTTAGCTTCGCAGCAAATTTAATACATACAACACATGCAAGACCCAGGAGGCAAGTTGGACAACACATTACATCTGAACTGCACAACCCCATAGCACTAAACATTTTTTCCTGCACAGTATAGTTGAGCTGGTGCCAAAGACAGGGCCAGCCAATGGATAGACTTCTTGAAAAACAACGTGACTTAATAGTCCAGTAAATGTTTCTGCCTTTCAAGCACGTTAATGATCTCCAGCTTCACATCTCAAGTATTTTCCATGCTAAGATTCCTGAACAATGCACTGGAGGATGCTCTGTATACAAAGCAGGGAACAGACCAGTGCCAAATTGGAGGAATCCTGGCATGGTTCTCTTATGCATACCAGCATGCAAGAGGATACAGCAATTTCAGCAAGCCAAGAGATAGCAGGCATGGGAAACATACACATATACTTAAACTCACAGCTGAGCTTGGTCACGAGAACCTTTAAACTTCCTCATAAACCGGCAGATTCTGGGGCCTACCAAGGGCTTGCAGAATACCTCTTTGTTAAAAACACTGCCGTGAAAACAAAAAGGAGGGAGATTTCCTTGCCTCTAGTGGACGTCAGCCGTCATTCCAGAGTGCCTTAAGAAACATATTCCTAGGGCTCATAAAAATACTTTGCGAGAAGCATGGGGAAGAAATGAATATCATTACGGGGGAGCAACATTCTCAAAGCACTTCCCCTAGAGGGGGAAAAAATTCCCCCAGAAGCTTTTACAAAGCACCCAACTCAAATCCCATTACGCGTCTCACAATTTAATGGAATGCCGTGGCACTATAAATATTCTCAGGATCTTTTTGGCACTGAAGGATAACCACATTTGGCACCCGCACAGTGTGTGCGTTTGCTTGCTAAGTCACGATGCCTCCCTCTTCTTGGTTGAAAACAACGTATGCCCTCATAAGGTAGCATACATCAGTAGATTCCCAGGTCACAGAGGCCTACACCCTGCAAGCTTAACCAGTTTTCTGTTACTTTAAGGTGGAAATAATTATGAGAGCCTCTTGTTACGTTACCGACATTGCTGACTTTAGGACTGCCCTTGAAAAGATTTCTACTCAAACAAGGTTAACAGCAACTGCGCTATGAGGAAGAAGCCCCCCTTCCCTAGTCCTTCACTCAAATCCAATAAAAATAAATAAATAAATAAATTACCTTCTCCGTGTAACAAAGATGGATCCAGCAATTCCATCATGTATTCAATTTCAGTATCCAGCTCCAGCATATCACACTGGGCTAGTACATACGTCAGCACAGGCAAGAAGTCATCAGCTCCATACAGCCTCCCTAGGTCAAAGGGAACACAGACAGTGATAGACAAATCACACTTTTTTACCAGTTTCAGCGTTTGAAAGGAAAGCATTATTTTGTTGCCTTCACTGACCAGTACATTTGTATTACTCTAGAGCCTCCTGTTACCAATGTACAGCGAAGAGAACGTCATCTGACACTCGCTGGACAGGGCACCAACACCAGCTTAATCCTGTACTTCCAGCAAGCACAGATCTCACGATGCACACCTTGAGGCACGCACGGGAATTTAAAGACTGGGCTCACCTTGGCATCAGCTCAACTGGTGAACTCATAAAAGGCTGCCATGCCAGTCTGGCCTGACCTCCACCTGCACTTCTATCACTGGCTAAGAGATGATGAATCAGCATTTCCTTTATACGTGCAGCGATGACATCCACTTTCTGGAAGGATCCAGCCACAAATACCAGTTTCTGAGTCTGAATCCCAGCAGAGAAGCCTGAATATAAAAGCCTATTAGATTTGACATGAAAACTAAGCTCATTTCCTTGACAGAGCATGGTTAAGAACACCAGCAAGCAAAGTCTCATCATATCATTCTTGACTAGCTGGTGAAGCATCATTGGCAACGGCAGCACGCAGCTAACACAGAGAGACCACGCTATACCTAGGTCTGTCTGCGCTCCTATCACTTTTATTGCATTTAAACTTTGTGTTTAGAAAACACTACGTGGCCAAATCTCTTGAGTCTGGCCAAACTGCGTTCGCTGCAGAAATGGTGCGATGGTCACTTAAAACCACCAAGAGCAGGAGCCAACTTGAACTTGGGTGAAACCCCAGATGACCGAAGGGCTGATATCTAAAGTTACACCAGGTAAGGCATACCCTCTAGATTTTACACTACTATCTGACTGACAGTACATGACAAAGCAGATACTCAAACAGCTGCTGCCTCAATGCCATAGTTTACAAACTTCACAGGACAAAACAAGACAACCCAAGGAGCATTTGCCATATTTTAGCCCAAGCTCCTCAGTGCAACAGTTAACCGGCAGCAGCCTCTCGGTAATTTTCTCCCGCATGTTGGAAATACTTTACTCCATGCGGTAACACAGCATGGACAAAAGAGTTTACAGCACTTCAGGCCAAGATTCCTACATCCATTTTGAAATGCGGGACTTTGCACAGAAATAATAAGCTGGGCAGGAGATCAGACCTAAATCTCGCAAAAGTGCCTGAGGGTCTTTAACAGCCACCAGCTCTCACAATTCATCTCAAATCTCAAAAGAAAGTAGGCATCTTTATCAGCATGGGACCCAGCTGCACATTCAATACTCACTTAGGAAGAAAACTGCCAACCACGTGCAGCAGCTTATACTTGCTTGGGGGCGGGGGGAAAAGTGTCACACTACCGCCAGCGCTGCTTCGCCTTAGCTCGCGACCTACCACAGCAGTGTACGATAAGACATCGGCCAACAGAGCTGCTCCTATGAATTCATGCCATGCAGCACAGCATTTTAATTGTGCCGCTGACTACTCAGCGGGACTTAACTGGTCTGTAGTGCCACTTCATTATCTAGGTTTCAAGGTCATGTTTGGACTCTTGCTACAGTGTAGAAATAGATGTTATTTCTGTTCCAAAACGAGGAAAGAAAGTATCCAACTGAGAACCTTCAGAGAGGTAGCAAGTAACAAAGAGTCGATCAGAGGCTGCTTTCCTACAGAGCCCTTGCAGTTATCATATTGGATACATGCTATAGAATTATTATAGCTCAATACAGGGCGTTACCTCTATTACAATTTCCATAAAAATACTCATTTGGAACCAGTGTCAAATTCAAGGCTTACAGGACAGACTTTTTGACAGCCAACTTCAGAAGCCTACAGTTAAGCAAAGCTGGGGGTTTTTTTAAGCTGCTTCACAACTCTGCTTCACGCTGAATTTGTAAGACGTGCTGCCAGATGCATCAGAGATATCAGGAAAGAAGCAGAGAGAAGGAGTTCCTCTCAAAAGGGCAAGGAGATGCTACGAGAGCTCCAAGAGCAGGAGACATATCTGCAGGCTCAGATGGTCTGATTTCCTCTACCAAAAGACAACACCAGGTTTAGAATATCAGTGAACTTGAACCACGAGGAGCACCATACCTGAGTTATTCTCCATAACAGTGTAAATCAATTTGCAAACTCGCAGCAGCAGCATGACTTTCTTTTCAGGTGAGTACATTTTCTGCATGGTCATGAACTTGACTTTAATCTTTTCAACATCCACAAAATCTGGTGTTGGAACAAACACGCCCAGTTCCTGAGGATTCCTCTGCCGCACCAGTTGCAGGTTTTCCTTCAGCTGTTTCCAGGATCCATCCGCGGTATGAAACTCTTTCAACATCGCTTCAATGTGGCCCTTCAACGGCTTCAGAATGCACTTATGCATGGCCTTCTCCAGGACAACATCTGCAACGGGAAAACACAAGTCCAGCTGACTTCCTCCTCTACAGCAGAGCCAGTATTAACATAACCATTCCCAGAAGAGACACTGTAGAGCAAAACCTACTTGCTAAGGCCTATTTATTATACAAGCTGAGTTTTCAGATGTTTCTTAACAAGAAAATAAAAGGCAGAGCAGAATCTGTATTCCGCTTTCATTTATGAAATGTGGTAAATAAATAAAAAAATAAAAAAAACATTCACCCACAAAAACCCACGAAGACAGATTGCAGACTGTCACCAAAAAAAGGGGGAGGGGTGGCAAAAAAGGCAAGCTGTGACTCCAGTTCACTTTTGTTGGCCAGAAGTCTCCGAGTTTTATTTTACTTTGAGCTTAGACTTTAACTCTCAAACTTAAACAGTCAAAACCGTAACTTTTGTCTGCTTTGGCATGAAAGTCCATCCTTTCTGCATAGTTTCCATCAGAAACTATAACTCAACCAAAGTCTCCTAAAACTTGGCTCAACTTTGTCACGATCTTTATGAAGTTGAACAGATTACGGGCTTTAAGCTATAAATGAAAACCAAGCTGTGTTTGTCCAGCTTCGGATTTCATCACGCAAGCTTATATACAGCTTTGTCATCAAGTTTGAAGTTCTTTGTTTGGCAATAGTGCGCACGTGGCACAGTAACCACTAACTTAGGGTTGGGTTTTTTTATTCTTGTTCTACTCAAGATTTTCTTTAACAGTCATTCTCCATGTACGGACCACATCAACAGAGAAAGCTCTTTGCTAAACATTTTCTCTGCAAACCTTTACTTTATAAGCTAATTTTCTCTCCCACTCAGTGTCCCTATGGCAACATAGCTCACATTAGCTATTTGTACTACAGTTAACTCCCACAAGCACAAAAGAAACTGGAGACCCTTCAGCTTGGCCACTGCACCAATGCCCTGACAGTAGGGCAGGACCAGAACCTAGAGTAGACAGATGACTTGGGGAGCACAGGAAGAGGAGAGACCAAATGTGCTATATCACACATTTATACAAGCTAGCAGTGGACGTTCCTGGTACTAGTGGTGACTCATTAAAGTTTCATTTAACCTCATGCCTCTTCCAGGTTCTTTGCCTGTTCTTATACCACTTTTTCTCCCCCCCACCCTTTTTTTTTTTTTTAAATTGCAGACTATTTCTAAGGCATGGGATTTACACACATACACTCTCCAACGAGCATTACCTGTTTTCTTGCTTTTGCTTTATGCTTTCATTTATTTTATCCTTGCATTCAACCATTTTTGCTTTTGGGTCTTCATACCCCTCTGCCATGCAAACACACCCTTCACATGCTCCTCTTATGGTGTCTTTGCTTCATATGTAGCATTTATTCTGTGTTTGTCTGGCATGCAATTCCCAAATGTCCAACTCCATTAGGAGCTCCCATCTCCCCTATCCCAATTCTGCCGGGGCTCCTGTAGCTTCTCTTGCTATTTTCCCCTCCTGAGACTCTGATAGAGGTGGCAAAGCCATGTCTACATCATTCCCAGAGCATCTGGGCTCTCTCTCACAATGGAGACCGCAAAAGCTGCTGGAAGGGAGAAAGAGTGAATGTGAGGAGCAGCATTTGCCCTCTGATCTTCCAGATTTCCATACGGCCACCGGTAAAGGCATAACCCGTCTGACACCTGTTCTCGATGGCCTGTCACACAGTCTGAAGGGTGGATCCAGCTTCCTGCCAGACCAGAGCCACCAGTTATACATAACAAGTGGAAACACTTCAAATGACTGATCCTTATCTATTGCACTTGGTAGGGCCACACCATCACCACTGACAGCACTACCAAACCCAGTCAGGAAAACAGAAGCATCACCCTTCTGTGCAGTGACAGAAACTGCCTCTCCATGCCATCAAAGCCATCCTCAGGGCTCATGGGGCAGAAATATTTTTCCACCAAGAAAAATGCACAAATCTCACCCATGGGTACGCTAACTAGCTAAATTCCTAGAGAGTACATACGCATAGTTCCTTGCTAGCTTCAACTGATGATGGATTTGGGGTTTTGTTTTGTTTTTACAATTCAGCTTACCTTATTTCTACTGCCTGTTCAGTTTTTTAAATAGCAAAAACACCAACTGCTGTGCTCGTAAGTGGAACACCTCTGCAGTTTGCATTCCAAGCGCCTGGTCTTGTTTAAGTCAAAATTAAAGCAATCGGTGCTGCCAAACATTACGTTAAGCAAGAGAACTCTCTATCCCCGTGAAATTTTAACTCCCACAGGCTGCCGCTGGAAGCTCTGCACATGAATAGTTAGCGTCAGCCATCCTTCATCTCAATAAAGTGGGGTCACTGCCACATTTGGTCACAGGAGGCTCAATAAATCACAAAGAATTCAGCGTGGATCCTCAGAGCCCTTGGTGTGATAATGAGGGAGCACCTAGCCTGGGATGGGAGACTGGAAAACTCAGTACGCTTCCGTGACTGATCCTCTATGGGCTCCAGGCTGGAGCTGGTTCAGCGGCTGCCTGCAGCATCAGTACGACGGGAGCTGCAGAAGCAGTCCCTCCCCAGGGGCTACAGGAACTGGATGCTGCTGGGAGGGAAAAAGTCCTCCACAAAGCCCCAGTCCTTGGTTGGAGCCAGGCTTGTTATCTGTAGGAGAGAAGTGGAAGCCTTAATAAGGATTGAGGGCAGAAGACTTAAGTCAGTGACACTCCCACAGCTTCCCGTGCAGATGAATCGCACAGATTTTTATGGTATGCAAGATGGCGAGGAGGCGTTCTTTCATATTTGCAGTTTGTCACAGACTCCAAAAGCAGTGCCTGGAAATTGCTTTGAAATCTACTCTATCACATTCCGCCATTTCTCCGGGAACATAAATCAATTTGAAGCAGCACAGAGGAAGAGAGAGCAGATAACTCACGTGGCTGTGCTCAAAGTTCTGCACAGGGTCCAAGTACTTATTGCTGAAGGCTGTTCCTAATGGTTTCTGCGCTGTTAATGCAAGCGGGTAAATAAAAATAGGAGGGGATATTTAGTAAAGCATCCTTCGGTGCTGTTCAGCGACTATATTACAGCTAATAGGAGACAAATGAAATAAGAGACATATAGCTGTGATTCCAAAGAGATACTAACTGCGTCAGCTTGGTAAGGGTAGACCGAGAGAAACTGTCGTTTTAATGCAGCGTGTTTGCATAGAACTAGCCAGCAAACAAGTGACAAGATACAGTGTGTCCAAGGTTTTTGGTCTTTTAAAAAACAAAAGAAAAACCACCAAATCAAACAAACCAAAACCAATACAGAATCTTTTCTTCTCCCTTATGAACTCTTGGCACAGACATAAGAACCACAGAGTTCTGCGCTCAAATTAAAAAGTGACAAACTCTAGCAAGCCGACGAGGTCAAAAACATAGCAAGATTGATCAGGACTGGACTTTTTTTTTTTTTTAAAACGGTCAACAATAACACCTATATGTATCCTAATTAATATAAAACCTACATAAATATTTATACTATTATTAAAGCCTGAAAGGACAGCATTTTTTCTGATGTGGGTCTTAGACCAATATTCAGTGTCACAAGAGACACCTATAAGCATGTTTAGGATCAGGCCATCCAACTATTTACCCTGTCTTCTGAACTGCGGTTACAGGCCTCTTTCAGAAAAAGATGTTTCTGCATATGATCCCACAAAACAATTTCCAGCCAGCAGCAGCTTTCACTGTTTAACTTCTAATGGCCACAAAGAAGTATAGGAGGGTCTCCTAGGCAAATTAGCATCTAAGTTGTGACTTCAGGACTGATCCGTTGCGTTAACATCTCTGTGTACTTCTTACATCTGAATCGGCAACAAAAATTCAGCGTACACAAAGTGTTTCCAAATATCCTCCCAGGATGCTTAATACTCCAAAACCAAAATAGACACTCTTCAGATTTTCTTTTTTCTAGGCTGAATATCATTTGAGCAGAGCACCATGTAACGTTCCCGAAACGATACTTATAATTAGCCTCTAGCCTCAAAATGGGAACTGGAAATGCTTTGATAAATGAATTGTAAAGGCCAGCCAGCTAGTTTCGTTGTGAATTGTGGAAACACATCTGTATCCTGTGCTGACATGCTATTTTGTTTTGCTGCAAACCACACAAGTCTGCATCTAGAGAGGACAACATATTAGTCATCGCCAGTGTCCTTACACAGCCTCTTTACAACCCTCGCGCACTGAAATCGCAGGCACGCTCTCACCTTTTCCAGGCTGTCAGTTTACCTGTTACCAACCGCTGTTGCTCCACTGAGATTATCTGTCAGATTCCAGTCCCAGGATTTACAGACAAGCCCTGTTTATCATCTACGATGGCCAAACCATTCATCAGTAAAAGAAGGGCTCAATAAGAGACCGAGCGAGCCTGGGAGCCACCACAAAAAGGCCGAGCCCTGCACAAGTAACGTTGCCTGGGAAGCTGGAAGCAGAAGGTTGCTTTGGAACACCACAGCGCATACATGCAGGAGACCTGCATTTGCTTCGTTTTGATTTTTCGTAATATCTTGCACGTTTGCAGACTGGCATGACTGATACAGATTTGTTTTAAGACAGCTCGTGTCAGGATGGCCAAGTGTCCAGTTCTTGGCAGATGTCTACAGTGACACACGCCTAGTCCGTGGTGCAGACAAGGCCATCTCCTCCAAAAGAGCAAGACTTGAAAGTAAGACCACACAACTCACGTTCCTCGATAACCTGCACAACCCTGAAAACAGAAGTGGATAGGCGGCCGTGACAGAAGTTGAGCAACTATGGAAGAAAGGTCTCTAGGGTAAACCTCCCCTCATTTTACCTACATAAAGCACACCAATGAATCACAGGACTATCTGTGCTAGGCTTGTTTTGCTTTAATCAGCTGTGGGTTAATTAAAACTCACGCTACGGCCGTGAGGCAAATACACATCTTCTCTTAGAGAAGTAGTAATAAAGGAGCAGGGAGTAAGTCACAAAGCAAATCAAACGGATGGTTTGGAAAGGGAGAACCAAATCCTCTGCCTCTGCTCAGCACTTTTAACACTGCTTCTTACTTGCCCTGTGCCCCACTCCTGTAGTGACGAGAGGAGCGCTGGGGGACACTTTGGTCGGCCTCAACTCAACATGAAAAGATACTAAGATGAACAACAGGGTAGGGGGACAGGACACCAAAACAAAATTTACAAGCACCTAACAAGTACCACAGTGCTAAAAAACAGCCAACGTGAGTTTTTCAAGAAGAAATAGTGGCATACCATTCTAATTCCTTTAGGAGGATAATTGGATCAGTGAAGAAGAGGGGAGCAGGGGATGGGCTGTATCTTAACATTTTTAAGACCTACAACCCTATTCCATGCAGCTTTCCTATAAGCAAACAAGGGAAATATTGTCTTGCCCTAATTACCATAAGGTTGGTGCACGAACGAGTGCATAAAATACTGCACTGAGAGCACAGTTATCAATGGTTGACTGCCAAACAAGGCAGATACTTGAAAAGAGGTACCACGGGGGTCAGCCCTGGGCTTCAGACTAGTATTTTCATCAACAATTTGGATGATAAAGCAGAGAGTTCACATAAAAAAATCCACATGTGATATCACGGCGAGGGTGGGAGATGGGCATCACCAGTCCTTTGGAGACCAGGTTTAAAGTTATCTTCCTAAGTGGGAAACAGGCCTAAAGCTAATGTGATAAAATCTCGTAAGAACAAAAGTAAAACATTGCCTCTCAGCAAGAGGAATACAAAGGCAAAAGCGCTGCTCAGAGAAGCCTCCCTCAGAGCAGCTGGCACACCGGCTCCCACGGGGAACAGACTACGCTCCTCCACACGTCCTCCAGCTCCGTCTGCCTGTGACTCCTCCGTACAGACCCAAGTCCCTGTGACAAGGCAAGTCCTGCCAGCAAGGGGCCCACGTGTTCCCTCCAAGCCTCTTTTAGCACTCAACATTTAAAAATCCATTATGGATTAGCAGTATTGTCTAGGAACCTTCCCACACGATCAGTTAACGCCTTATTGCCAAATTATTTGAACCGGTCATTTCTTGTGCTAGGCCCAGATTTAGGCATTGAGACTGAAGTTGTTCAGGTTGTTAGATGCTGCCTGGTGATGACCTGGCGAAGCAATGACAGTCAACTTGATTCCTGTCTGTTTGCAGCCAGGAAAAGAAGAAACACAAATAAAAACTCCTGAACATTTGCTAATCGAGCAGCTGTGGACTATCAGGGTCTCCTCTCAACAATCCAGGTCTCTATTCTGTGGATACATATTCAGGTATGGATGACTTGGGAAAAAAAAAAAAACCCAACACAAAAACCAAAAAAACCCCAGACTTTGCATTTGTCCTTAAACAATAAAAAGCCACGTGCCTTAGTCTTGATTCTGTCCCGACACTGGGAATCCCATTGTTTTAGGAAGGGTTAACGGCCTACAGTGCTAACATTAGGAGGCATCTGTCAGGAATAGTTAGAAACGCTGATGCGCATTCTCCCAACGATTTGGCAGAAGTTAAGCAATTTGATATACCCCTGTCTGGGAAACTTGAAAGATCTCTCCCTAGACTTTTGCAAGCAAAAGACTCCTGTAAGTCCGTGATGCAGCTCTACAAGAAAAGCTACACAATCACAAAGATCGTTACACAGACACGGGAGAAAGTCCCAAACACCAAAGGTTCCACTAAGCCTCGTGGGGGACGCTGCTTCAGCACGTACCGAAATTCAGGAGACAACGGCGGGATAAGGTGAAGCCTGGCTGCCCCGGGACAGGCGACTGGCAGCAGCAGTTCTGTTGGGTGGTAGAGGGAGGAAGGTGAGGACTGGCTCCAGCTCCTCTCCACAGAGGCAGGACTGGCCCGGGGAGCGGAGAGGCCTGAACATTTTCTGCGGCAGGCTCCCTCCCTGCCCCTGCCCCCCCCA